TTTTTTTTGATGAGATGGATGGCTGACACAAGGCAAAAATATTTGACTGTCCATCACTAGAAAGAATGACTAAAAACTTTTTATTTCACAAAAAGAAATATTTATGGCACATGAAGTCTTAAGAACTTTATCAGTGAAATTCGTTAAAGAGTTTTTGAACTAACCGAAACTAGGTTACCTCGATAGTTCAGTTTATGGAGCTTTCTCTGTACTTTGTTCTACTTCACAAAGCATGAAAAGTCAGTCTTTTTAGTTTGACAATCGATATATTGAAGAAGGATATTAAATATAATAAGCACTAAAATTGTGAATATCAGAAAGAAATTTTTAGATAATGCTCTTGACATAAGTTTTGAGTTTTTAGGATTTTTTAAAGCCAAAGAAAAAACATCAGAGGAACATCACATCTATGCAGAATTTATATATGTAAATAGAAACATATTTATGGAAATAGTAATTCAGTCTATGGAATTCTTTTTCTTTTCAAATGCAATGCTGTTTAATAAATATTACAGATACATTTAATTTGACTGCCATAAAGCTTAATAAAAAGCTCTATATTTTCCCTCTTTTGTCCTCTGTAATGCTACTTTCGATTTCTACTTTATACCGTATCTAGTTCACAATTCGAAGGTTTTCGTTTTTCTTAATGCAATAAATATGAAAAGTAAAAACAGAATTAAATCGCTTTTACACTTGAAGTTTTTAAAGAGTGATTCGAAAAATATTAAATAACATTTTTATTGTTGTTATTTAAAACCATCTTGTGAAAGTTTAAACCTCAATCTATTCCTATTTTTTTATTTATATATTGATTTTTGATTTAGAAAACATCTTATAGAAAATAACAATCGGCATCACGACCATTTTGTAAGCAAAATATAGATAAATTTTTTATAGCATGAGAAATCATATATATGAATCTTTTGTTAAAAGATTGGAACCAGTGAACTTGGAAATTTGATCAATTTTGAAGTTAGTTATTTTCCTCTGTTTTATGCTATCTTATGTATAGATATCAAAACCGATAACCGAGAACCGATAACCGGCTGTTTTTTTCGGATATTCGAGTACTAGGTTAACCGAGATTTCTTTCGGTTAACCGAAAAATAACCGAAATTAGCGAAATTTACTCCTATTAAAATTTTTTTTCGCAAATTGTTTCGTTTTTTTGATTGTTCTTGGCTAAAAACGAATTCATGTTTAGTGATATGCATTTTTTTCTTTAAAAATAATTTATTTTTGTAAAATTCTCTTAATATTAAAATCAAAGATACTAAAAGCCAAAAAATCTTTTTTTTTTAAGTTTTTGTATATTTTTGAGTCAGAAGCAAGCAAAGTGCAATAAATGTATCAGGGAAAGAGTAGAAATATGCATAACAAGCATTCTTTTTCATTTTTTATGATGAAAAATCAAATTTTCATGACTATTTTAAGATTTCGGTTAACCGTAGGTTAACCGAGTTTCTCTGTTTCGGTTACTAGGTTAACCGAAATCTTAAAAATACCGGTTAAAAAATATCTATAATCTTATGTAATATTGCTGTTAAACATTTGAATATCTTTCTGTAATTAAGTACCTACTTTGCTTTCCATCAAGAATAAATATTTTTCGATACACAAGTTGCGAGGTTTTCAAATGATAAACAAAAAAAGACTTCTTAACTAAGGCGTTAGTAGAAGAACGAAGAAAGAGAAAAAGAAAAATAAAATTCTCATGGTTACAACTGCCATGTCTGCAACCGAAACACATACGAAGAAGAAAATAAAGCGGCGATCGTCTGGAAGAAATGGCGAAGAATGTCGAGTAAAAGCCTTTAGACATTATAAGAAGAGGTCAACCAAAAAGAAATCGAAAGTAAAGCAATAAGAGCCAGACTTAACTATACGGTAAACAGCGCAAGACGAAATCTTCGATATCATTTTAAGAATAAGAAGAGAAAAAGGAGCGAAAAAAATAAGATATGAAGGAGACACGAAAATATTTTCTTTGAATATGTTCGTTGCTGTCGATTATCTTCTTCTTTTTGTAAATATTTCACATCTCGTGCGTTGAAACCTTAAGAGTTTCAAAGATTGTTTTTGTTAAATTGGTTTTATAAAGAAAAGCGAAATAAAAAGTTATAAAACTTCAAATTTTATGTTAAATTACGCTTGCAACTTTACCTTTTTTTCAGTAAAATAAAAAAATTAGTATGAAAATTTCCACCCAAGACGATTCTAAATATTTCCCTTGGATGTTTTTTTTTTGTTTGAAAGTACAAGCTAAACATTTTATGATTAAAGATGACAGCATGACTTAGATATTTATTTGATACTTTTCAAAGAAATGAAATTTTGTATAAAAAATTCTGATTCTTTGAATATACAAATATCTAAACAATTATATTCATGAAGAAGTATTTTCCTACCTTTAATAATTTTTGTTTTGTGAAACTATTTTCTATTCTGAAATGTAGCAATTTGTCTTTCTTTGGCAGGAAGTTTTATTGAATATTTCTAAGAAGATCAGAAATCATTATTACCATTCGTCATTACCAACAATTTATCAAAAACAAAAATATACGACCAAACTGTCATAATATTTATGATTCGATTTCATCGTTCCTTAACTTTGAAAAATCATGCAATTGAGTTTTATACCATTAAGTCTTGCAAACGCATTATCTCTCTAGCATTTCTAAATAATAAAAAGACAAAATGTGTTACTTACAATTGCCCATGGAATAAATAAAATTTCTCAACAAAAACTTGAAAGTCATCATCATTTAATTTTTCAAAATCCACAAAGTGCATTTTTCTCTCTTTTCATTTATTTCTGCATTTCTAGTTTGCGTTTAAAAGTTTTGTATTAGGAAATCCACAACTGCATTTATTGTGCAAGAGAATTTTTCAAGTTGGAAAAATTGATGCATTGCAAAATAAACGTCTCATACCTGTTCAAATGGGGTGCTGAGGTTCATTTTACACTTACTTATTTTTATTTAGTATGAAGCTCTCTGTATCTCTATTAAAAGAGATGTTTTTCTTCGTGAAGTGATTGCAAGGTGCCCGCTAAGAGAGAAGCCAATCATTTTAACTTTGGCTCAAGCTTTATTTTTTTCTGTTTGCTTCATGACACGACCTATAAATTGTAATGGTATAAGCTTTAGTGTGAGCAAAATAATAATATTAAAACATTGCTTTAAGTAATGATGGAATAGGTTAGTAGGTTCTTTTCAAACGATTTGAAACTCTTTCGAGCGCGACTTTTGCTTGATCTCCCACCTTTTTTTTATTTTCTGAGATGCTGATTTTGATTTCGTCATTGAATGCATAAATGCAAATTCTTCACTGTACATTGATATTAGTGTTTGCAGTGCACATTGAAATGCTATAGATATTTAGTATAACATAGTAAGTAATACATGGAACATTTCATTACAAGTTTTTACTTTTATTTAAGATTATAAATTAAAAGATAAATTCTGCAATTTTTCCTCTTGCTGCTATATCTGAATACTGAAAGCATTTCATACATTTTATGGTATTGTCCATTCACCTTTTTCTATTTTCTTTCTAAAGTAAAATTCAAAGAATTCTGTAATTCTTCATTTCTTTATGACTAAATCTATTAAAGACGGAATCCTTGGAAAACAAAATTGCATCATAAAAACTCTTTTACTCTAGTTACAAACATTTAATAAGAGCAGAGTATAGATCTCAGTTCTTTGAAAAATGTACCAAAAAAAAACATTCTATTCTACCATTTAGTTGAATGAAACCGAAAAAGTCATAAAACAATCAAAAGAGTAAAAGATCTAGTGTAATTGTTTTATTGCTGTCGATTTATTTTTCTTTTCTCCTTTTTTTCGTATGGATTTTAAAATAATTTAAAGGCTTGAAATATGCAAAACATATTTCCCTGAAAAATAATGTTACAATTATTTATTTATCCGTAACAAATTTGTTTGCTTTAGTACTTTATGGATAGATAATGTTACGAGAGCAAGGTCAAAACTCTATGTATGTTGTCAAACAGTTCAACAAGAAAGGGAAGAGTTAAAAATCTTCAAAACGAAATTAGTTGCGAAATGTTTTATTTTTATGAGTTTTCAATTCATGTTCGTATAAAAATACAGAATTTATACTTCTATCATTTGTATTCTTATTTATAAAACTTCGTGAACCTTTTCAAATGAAATATGAAAAACCTCTTCGTTGGTCATATTATGAATATATGTTGTTTGGACGACGACTCAGATTGAAGGCATCAAGGGTGGAATAAAAGTATCAAATTAATAAAAAGTAAATAAAAGTTCTAAAATAAATTTCTACATTCTCATTTACATTTTCGATGATATGACTGGTATGTATGCTTTAAGAATTGTAATATCTAAACAATAAAATGAAAACGTTAAATAATTTATTAAATAATTACATAGTTTCTTTTAATTTATTTAAGAAAGCATGAACCCTATTCAACTTTCATTGAATACTTATATAAATTTAATGTTAACGAGGTACAGATCCTCTAAAAAGGATAGTCATACATAACAAGGAGAAAAAACGTTTAGAAAGGGCAAACAAAAGAAGAAGTACGCCCTGTATGGGGCGATTTGATAAAAAATGTTACGAAAACATTAAAACATTGAATTTGATGTTTTGTGATGCTTAAGAAAAAGCAAAACATCAAAGTGTAAATATATCAATCTCTTGAGAGTGTCCGGTACGAAAAAAACATCGCAATTCAACAATTTTTTTTTGTATTTTAAAACCTTTTGTTTAGATGTCGCTGTTTTCGTACTAAGTAGCAACATACTTTTTAAAAACAGAAATGGCATTAATGAATTTCACTTTAATCATAATATTTAAATCTCCATAATTAAAATAAAATCATTTTTAGAAATATCAGGCAATTCTCCAAATTTGAACTCTACCTTCAATTCTCCGAGAATTTGAAAATAGTGGGTAAAATGCTTAAAAAAGTCCAAATGGTTATTTCTTGTAAAATTCAGTCCAAATGGCATTGGTAGACTAAGTGAAAAGTTTCTTCTTTGATAATCTCTGATAATCGAAATCTACATAAAAATTATTCCTAATTCGAACAAAGCTTATAACTCGTTTAATAACAAGAGAAATAGCCTCATCAAGTTGATACAAGAAGCTTTTGACCGACCGGAGGAATTGTGAGAGAAGGAGACGAGAATGATTTTTTTTTTTTCAATTTTAAGGGTGTATTTTTTTTGTAAAGGTGAATCTGAGATTTGATAACGATAGAGAGTATTCATTGCATATGAAAAACTTGTTGAAATCGTTTCATGAAGCGAAGTTGAAACATTCAATATAACGTAATTGTTTGAGATAAGCTGGAGAAAATATAACATGAGAATCGGAAAAGTTAAAAGAATATTGAAGTGAAAGATATGAAAAATACTAATAACAAAAATAATAACCTATACATTAAGAAAATCGATATAAAATAATTTTTCTTGAAGTGAAAAGAAAAAATCTCTTAAGAATTAAGGCAACTAAATGTTGCATTGTCTGAATGTTGTAATAGTTTTTACATAGTGAGAAAATATTGGACTGTCGATAAGACGATAAGAAATTTAAAAACATCCAAAGAGAGAAAGAAAGAAAGAGGACAAAAAAAATGAAAAAAGATTTTCAGTCACTTGAACCGATGATAATGAATACACATACATAAGAGAAGAAAGGAAAAAATATCATACACTTATTGCGAAGACGGTGAGCACCTTAGAAAGTTTTACTTTTTATCTTGTACATATGTCTGACTTAAGAGTTTTCTATTAGATTCTCAGTTGATTAATAAGAGGTTTTCATCAATTCTGTTTAATATTTTGACTAGTTCTCAGAAAACAGAAAAAGAGTGTAACTGGATAATCTAAAAAAAAATGAATAACCTTTTTATTATCTAAAATGTAAATAAGTTAATTTAAAATATCACGATTCTTATTCTCAAAGAAATTTCATATTTTTTTTAGATATATAGAAATTATATTTACATATTTTGGATTCTTAAAATGAATCACATAGATTTGAATACTTCCCATGTTTATTTTTAAAGTTTTTTTAATATTATTTCGAAAATTAACACTTTTCTTCCCACTCCACACATTGCATATATCTGAGATAAATTCAGAGTCTAACTCTCTAGATATATTTATTGTCAATGTGATGTGAGAGATGATTTTCCCTCTCAGAGCTCTGTTTTCACCTTCTAAATTTATTTAAGAATGCTTGTATTTATGATTAGGTATCTTTCTGAAAAAATGCAGCATCAAATGTCAAATATGCGTAACATCTAATTTTCCTAAATGAGTTCGAATAAGCTCTTATAAATATCTTTTGTATTTAATATCTACATATTCCGTAATTTTTGTGATAGAATGAGCGATTGTAAATGTTTTTGTTTTTCATATTATTTAAATTTGACATTTATTGAACAGATAAATTAAGATTTGATTTAATGAAAACAATTTATTTGACCAGAGAAAGTTAGTAGAAACTTATTTTGCATAATAAACAATCAGATATTCGTGACATTTCTTTTAAATACTATTTAGGTAGTAAAGGGTTTTCAAACTTTTGGCATCTTAAAAAAATCATGTTGGTTCTAAATTAGAGTTAACACTTAAATATTAACATCAGATTTAAATCTAACCATAAAATATCTTGATTCTGAATTTACAACTATTTTTGTATTTCTTTTTGCTTTGCTTTGATTTATTAGTAAAATCCAAAAAAAAAAAATTTTTCGTTTTTTTATTTTAAGAGTCACTTCACACTCTCTCATAAGATATTTTTTATTTCTTTTTTCCTGTTATTTTTAGATATCACCAAAAGAGCTTCAAAGAATTTTCCAATATTAAAAGCCGAATTGAGAACGTGAAAAAGAGAAAGAAGGAAAATATAGTGGTCACGAAATAGTCACATTGGAATGTTCAACTATACTTAAATACAAGACCCCTTCCCCTCTACTCCCTCCTGAAATTGAAGCTGAAACTGAATTTTTAGTTAACAAGAAAGTTTTTTGCAAGAAAAAAAAGATTGAGAAAAGAGATCAAAACTTAATACATAAAAAAGTGTTGTAAGGGAGGAAGAGACATATAAACACTTTTATTTATAAATATATACTGGCTCGAAACGGTGAGGCACGGGGGACAACTGAATCTCCCGAGATATCACCTGACGGTGGTACATCATCAGCGTGTTGGTGGGCACCTTGGTCAGCAATGGGTTGCTTCGGTTCAGCGAGTTCCAAACAAGCAGATTCAAATAGTCCCGATGATTCCAAAAGCCAAAAGCGAAGAAGTGATGCAATCACAAAACAACTACAAAAGGACAAGCAGGTGAAATATTGTAATAGTATAAAACTCTAAGCAATTCATTCCAAATTAAACTACTTACAGGTCTATCGAGCTACACACAGACTGCTTTTGCTTGGCGCGGGTGAGTCAGGTAAATCAACGATTGTAAAACAAATGCGTATTCTCCATGTAAATGGATTTTCTGATACTGAACGTAAACAAAAAATTGAAGACATCAAGAAAAATATTCGTGATGCAATATTGGTAAGAAATATTTATTTATTAGTATGAAAATGAATTTTGTTTAAGTTTTTTACATTTTACACATGTTTTTTTGCAGACGATTACAGGTGCTATGAGTACTTTAACACCTCCAATATCATTAGAGAAACCTGAGAATCAAGCAAGAATAGATTACATTCAGGATTATGCATCAAGTAAATGAATTAATTCATCTGTGCAAATTTTTTTTATTACTTTGTAATTTCTTTTATTTTAGATCCTGATTTTAACTACCCACCAGAGTTCTACGAGCATACGGAGGAACTTTGGAAAGATCATGGTGTTCAACAGACGTATGAAAGATCAAATGAGTATCAACTGATTGACTGCGCAAAATAGTAAAGAGAACATCATCTTTCAAAATATTTCTATTTTTCACGTGGTTCTTTCTTTCAGCTTTTTGGATCGGGTAAGCGTAGTAAAGCAAATAAATTATACACCATCAGAACAAGATATTCTCCGTTGTCGTGTGTTGACATCCGGTATATTTGAGACCAGATTTCAAGTGGATAAAGTTAATTTTCAGTAAGTTTAAAAGCCGTATGATGGCATAACTCGCGTATGCACGCGAATAATAAATGAGATAATGTCTTCCCTACCATTTTCTCTTTTTAGTATGTTTGATGTGGGTGGTCAACGAGATGAACGTAGAAAGTGGATACAATGTTTCAATGATGTTACTGCTATTATTTTTGTGACTGCTTGTTCTAGCTATAACATGGTCTTGCGTGAAGATCCAACACAAAATAGATTAAGAGAATCATTGGACTTATTTAAAAGCATTTGGAACAATAGGTGAATGGTTGTTGATTTTCTTTTCTACTAAGTATTGCTGATACATTGTAGAAGAATACTAAAATGAAAATATTGAGAAGATCTTGAGTTTTTCATATGATAGACTATAGTCTAGTCTCGTTTCAATTTTCGTCCCTCACAAATATTATAACTGCTACTGAATAGTTAATAGGATAAATCTAAATAATGATTTCTATCATTTCTCATAAAACTTCCTATTCTGTTCCTATAATCTATTTATCTATTTATTTTTTTATTTTTTTATTTTAGATGGCTTCGAACTATCTCAGTTATATTATTTCTGAACAAACAGGATCTACTGGCTGAAAAAGTAAAAGCAGCAAAAAGCAAATTGTCTGATTATTTTGCTGAATTTAATAGATATCAAACACCAGGTAAATGATTGCCTTTAGTTAAATTAGATTTTTCATCCATTTTCATTTTCCAAATATAGCGGATGCATTGATAGAGCCTGGAGACGATCCTGAAGTTATAAGGGCAAAATATTTCATTAGAGATGAGTTCTTGGTAAGTAGATAAGCTTATTTTCACATTTTTACATGACTGACTGATGGTGATATAGGAAAATCTTATGAAAAACAATATCGTATTTTAAGAAACATGCCCATGATAAATCAATTTCTCGTAAGGTGTCATGTTTTGATTTTTCTCAATCTGTTTTTCTACTTTCGGTAGATAATGTAGTTTTTTATGATTTAATAACTCTAAGTATAACTTTGGAATTTAACAAAGAAAGTCTCCATCAAACAACTTGTCACCGTTAAAGTCAATCATCATAAGTTTAATTCGTTTTTTTAAAGTGAATTTTCTATATTCAAATTTTTTCCTTCTTCATGAAAAACTTTCAGCGCATATCAACAGCTAGTGGAGATGGAAAACACTACTGTTATCCACATTTCACATGTGCAGTTGATACAGAAAATATTAAGCGAGTGTTCAATGATTGTCGAGACATCATTCAGCGAATGCACTTACGCCAATATGAACTTTTATAAATTATTTTTCTATGATCAAATATAAAAGTAAAAAAGGAAAAAAAATATTAAGAAAAAAGATGATGTATGAAGGAGAAATTTAAGTTAAAGCTAATTTCATAAAAAAATGCATGGATTTATAGATGATTTAATGTTTCAATAACAGAACATGGAACGATTTCTCAAAAAACAAGCTTAATTAAAAAAGTCAACAGCGCTAATAAAGAAAAACTACATAAAATGATGCTTACTTAAATAAAGTCTTGTTTTTCTATGTTTTCTTTTATAAATTTCTTTTTAAAGAAAAAATCACGATTTAAATTATGTTCCATTATTCATTAAGGATTTGTAATTTAACGTCTGATAAGATACATATTAGTAAATGGGAAATGGCTTCTTTCAGACTTTAATTTTTGTTTTATTATATTTAAAGTAAGATTAATCCTATCACACAGTTTATTTAAATATTTGTAAAACACCCTGATGATGGATTTAAAGTAACATCCGAAACTAGTCAGTCGAAAGGAAAAAAAAAACAAAAAACTATTTTTTCTTCTTAAAGGCTGAAAAATGCCGTTTCACATTTATTATTATTCATTAAAATATCACAACGCAAGATAAAAAACTAATTTAAAAAACAAATTAATAACAAAAAAAATAAAAATAAATCATCATAATTGAACAAACTAAACATTTCAAATTTTAAAAAAATAACATGAATTCGAAGTTTTATGTTTTTCCTATCATTTCGATTAGGTTAGAAGTAATTAAGAATGGTTAAAATCTGACATAAATTTTAAGTGCGATAAGTCATGTTCACAATAGCACGATGCATATTAATGCCATATATGTTTCTCTTTCATAATCCTTTTCCACATAAAATGAAAAAAAGAAGAAAGTTGATGTGTTAATAATTTTATAAATATCTGACTTCTCACTTCCAGAAAAGTTTTAAATAATAAACAAAAATTTATTAATATCTTATTTTAATGTATAATATTTCTTTTGAATACATACTAATATACATACCTACATATTTGAATTTAGTTTCTTTTGTTATAAATATAATTGAGATTGTTTGCTTATATTTTCTTTTCGGATTCAAGCATGACCTTTTTTCTTGTTATGAAAATGTTATTGGTAAGGAAAGTGATTAAATAAATTAAGAAATCAAAAAGCACCATTTTTATTTTTCTAGTCAAAAGTCAATTTATTACTACATGAAAAAACAGAAAAAATTAAACTTTCTACTATTGCCAAAAATTTAAAAGAAGACAGAAAACAGAAAACACAGAGGTGCAAAGAAAGTACCCAGCAAATTGCAAGGAATAAAATAAGAAAGACACATTTGCTCTTGAAAGTATTTCAAAATATTCATGGATGTTATGATTGATTTCGATGGCTCATCATGAATATCAAATGTTAACTAAACACTTTAATTAACTACACGTTTTCATGTTTTCATTCTTGTCACATCGTTCTCTCCATTTGTGCTATTTTTTGAATAGAAACTGCTGTTAAATTTTTAATTTTGGAAAAAATTCTTTTGAGTCTATTTTTTAATATAACGGAGTCATTAAATTTTTAATAAATTAACTATCATTTCTACCAATTGAACTTCCAATGTAACTCACAAGGTTTTAATTGTATAAATTTTATTAACCATTATTTAGTTAATTATATTTATGCACATCCATATTATAAATGCTTATATTTACGAATCATTTTACGTTGTTACTCTTGAGAAGCTATATAATTTTATTTTTTTCTGTGAAATATATGTAGGCGATATAGAAAAAATATGAAATGACCCCCACAACACCAAAAAATATAAGATTTCAAAGGAAAAGTGATGGTCGTCTAAAGGAAATATTTAAGATTTTTTGACCAAACAGATATTCAAAAAACCTTCAATTTTAAAATATATTTCATATTAATATCTTTTATTACTGTACATTTTGTTCAAAGCCCTCAAATTCTTTTAATCAGATTGAATTTAGGCATCAGTCACAATCAATGTCCATTTCCCCTTGTTCATCAGCGATAAAAGTTTTCAACTGTTATTAACTACTTTTTTGTAATTTCGAGAAAAAACTAAATAAACGACATGAATACAGAGAAATGAATTACAACTGACAGAGTTTTAGGTCAATAAATATATTTACAACAATTTTGTTTATC